CCTGAGGTTGTCACAAGACCTTTTACAGGTAATTTAAATCAAGTAAGAACACACAGGTTATCAAGCATAAAAATCAGTACATTCTGTAACTTTGTGTTTAGCTGGCATACATGCACAAGCACACACACATTGGCAGAATAATCAAGCGAGTTTAAATGCCTCTACACAAAGCACTCCCCCGCCCATGAAGACATTTGTTCTAGCCATTTCAATGACATTGTTTCTAAGGAAATGTAGGGAAAAAATGCAGCTAGGGAAAATAGAAATTAACATGTCCAGGAATGGAAACCATGACACTTCCTTTACGTGTTTAAGCTACCAACTTGGATCCCAAATTCTACAGTAAAAAGCTCTATTTTAAAAAAAAAACACCAGAAAAAACAAAAACAGGCCAGGGTAGAGGCTTCTCTTTGTGCTTTTGCATTTTAGTGGGTATCCTTCATAGAGAGAGAATCTTCAAATAGCTTTGGAACACTCATTTATTTTACCACATGTTAATTTTACAAACATGACAAAATTGAATAATCTGCCTCCTGAAGGGTTATGAAGGGTTACAGGTGTGGCCACTGAACACAGAGAATCTTTAGGGTGTTCACACTAAAACTATAACCATGAAGATCAGGCTTTCAGTCTCTGACAAAGCCAATATGAAAGTTTGAACTAACACACAGCTAGTCTTCCCATCTGTCAGACATGCCTGCTCTCAAATACGCCTGAGGAATGAAGTAGCCAAGTGAGAGAAGTGCCTTTCTCTCTCTCTCTCTCTCTCTCTCTGTATGTATGACAGAGTGAGAGAGAGCAGTAGGAGCCATAAGAGATCCCAAAGCGCAATGCACCATTGATTTGATTCTGTGCAAAAATGGCTCTGAGTGTCTTAAAAGCATCTTGCCAGCAAATATGAAGTGGAGGGTTAATGAAGACTTTGCATGCAAGATGCCAGTTCCCTCATTATATCGTCAATTCCGATTCTCACAAAACTAAAAAGAATGCAAGAATGGCTTATTCACCGGGTATCAGGGTACCAACTGAAATCTCAGGGAATGTTATGATTTTTAGAGGTCTTCAAACATAGGGACAAATCTCAGGATGAATAGCAAGTGCATAAAGTCTCATCTGCGTACAGCAGGTGGCTTTAAAACCTCATCTCATTCCCAACTAGCTCCTCAACTCACCCAGTCAGAACAAAAGGTTTTGTACTCATATTTTTGCAACAACAGTATTGCACTAAATAGCTGGAAGTGAGGGCAGGGAACTGGCGACAGAGCCAGTGGGGTGAACGCCTTATTCTCATCATACATTTGGGAATAAGGTGAGGAACAGAGTGCCTTGTACACATTTTCTACAGTTGTTGCCCCAGAAACAGTTCTGCCTCCCAATTGTTGCCTGATCCACCTCTGTGACATCACCAAGGCCTTTCCCATGTATGTATGTATGTATGTATGTATGTATGTATGTATGTATGTATGTATGTATGTATGTATGTATGTATGTATGTATGTATGTATGTATGTACCCTGTTTCCCCATAAATAAGACCGAACCTGAAAATAAGCCCTAGTATGATTTTTCAGGATGCTTGTAATATAAGCCCTACCCCAAAAATAAGCCCCAGTTAAGCGAAACCCTGCCCTCCACCCTTGTGCAGCAACCGGAAGATGACATGACTGTATTTGAATAAATGTAGATTGTTGTACATCAAAAAAAGATAAAACATCCCCTGAAAATAAGCCCTAATGCATTTTGGAGCAAAAGACTGTGGTGATCAACCCTTTGTGGCCCTTATTTTCTTGGGCTCTACACAGGTAAAAATGCTCTTTATTCGCTGCCACTAGGTATTCTCCTAATACCACTTCAAGTCCCACAGAGGAGCTGCCACCTCAAAGGGTCATATAACTTAGGAAGCAGGGGTTATGATTAAGTATTCTTTTATTATTGAACAAATCATAAGGAAAATCAAATATGAGTTGGTTCAGGTGTTCATGTATATTAGATCATGTATTCAATCATTTATATTCAGAACTACAGTATTGTATGTTTTAATCAATATCTTTCAAGTAGCATTTGTGCATTCATTCCTGCTTGTTCAACGTGTGTTTTAACGTTTCAATTTCTTCTATTCCTTTAGATCTATTCCTAAACCCTAACACTCTCTCTACATCTTCTGGTCCCTGACCCTTTCTATTTCTCTCTAACTCTAACTGTCCCTAACTGTCCCTTCAACTCCCTAACTGTCACTTTAGCTCCGCCCCTTCTGCTCTATCCTTGGCTCCTCCCCCTTTGCTGGTGTGATGGACAGGCAGGAATGACATCACCTTTTTGGATTCCGCTACAAAGACCCTGTCTTATTTTAGGGGAAACACGGTATATGCTGCCTCTCTCCCCATTATAAAACAAACAAGAGTTTAAAAAATACTACATAAATATGATATTAAAAACAATTAAAGCTATACTAATTTAAAAACATTTAAAAATCCTTAAGTTAACAAACATCCCTGAGACACTTACCACTTGAAAGCCTGCCTGAAGAGGGAGGTCTTCTTTGCCTGACAACAGAAGGACAAGAGGGAAGGGGGCCAACCTGGCTTCTCAAGGCAGGGCTTTCCAAAGCCTGGGAGCGACCTTTTGGTCTTGAAATTTCAATGAATGGGAGGCTGCTAACCTGGCAACTTAAGACAAGACCCAATACGAGGGAACTTTTCCCTGTGGATGTTGCCGACAACTAGATTTATTTCTTCCTTTTTAGACAATCACAGTCAGAGAGGCATTCAATGTTCACTCCGCTAGAGCCATACCATCCTTACCTGTTATAGTCAGAAAAGTTGAAGATATGAGGAGATTAAGACCCCAATTCACACTACAGGTTAGAGAAATTGCTCTTCCTCTTATCCCACCAGGAAATATTTCACTTAATACCAGCCAAGACACTGAAATTAAAAGTAAAATAAAACAAACATAATTTTAATAGTAAATTAAGAATACCTTTTGATTGTATCAGATGATGTGGCTGGCTTTTCACCAAACCTCAATCCAAATAAAACACTGTACTTGTTTAAATTACCATTTTGTTGTTATATTTTGTCAAGTCACCTCGTGATTTATGCCAATCCTATGCTTGTTTTCCAAATTGCCCTATCATTAACGACCCTGCTTAGGTGTTGCAAACGGAAGGCTATGGCTTCCTTTATGGAGACAACCCATCTCATATTTGGCCCTCCTATTTTCCTGCTGCCTTCAACTTGCCATTAGAGCTCGTTTTTTCCTGCTCCAAACTGTCATGTCTACATCTCTCCTGAAATCTTAATAGGGTTACCTAACAGTAATCTGGTGCAGCTTCAAATATTTCAACCCCAATTTCATATCTTTGCATTCCATTAAAACCTATTCAATTTGGCCAGGTTCCTATACAAGCCTTTCTAAGGAAGATATATTCACCACCAATCGTAGCTGGTAATTTATGATGGGGGTCCTCATGCACGATTAGAACACATTTTTTCTTCTTCAATTGAGAAGCAGCAGCAATAACCCCAATGGGATCATGTCCATTGGGTCATATCAGTAATCAGATGCCATGGTTTCATAATGAACATTTATTAGCTGCAAACAAATACAGTACTAGGGCCAACTCCCTGATCAACAAGAACATTTGCCTGACACAGTATCTGGCTTTCCATCTTCATTCAGTTACCAAGCTACATTTTAGTACACGCCCTTTATGCACCACATACCAATACAGTATTTGATTAAAAATGACCAAGGGTAATCATAGCAAAACAGCCCTGGATTATACAATCATCATGTTATTACTTTGTCAAATCAAATGTGAGTCAAGACTGCATTTGGATGGAATGTAGTGTAATACCTTCTTCAGGAGGCCAGTTATGGAACACTTTAATTCTGACTGATACGTGGAAATAAAGTAGCTTATAGTCTCTGTTCCAATGAACAAACCTAGCTCTGTTCCTGCTCTCTGGCTTTCTTCTTATATGCCTCTAAGCTACATTCCAAGCTAGCCTGTACAGAGTGCCTCTTTGTGACCTTGGCAAGCAAAGTCTGGAACTTCACCTGCTTTGTTCCTTGTCACTTTACCCAAACAACAGTTTTTGACTGCAACCGTGAATGGACACCATGGATGTAACCCATTTTGTTGTATGTCAAGCTTGAAACAGAGATTAGAAAAGGGAAATCCTTAGCTAACGCCAAGTATCTAAGTGTCATAGCTGGAATTTCTCTCATGGTTGGGAGAATGCAAATTAGCTTGCAACTAATCTTCCACATCTATGCAAGGGATTATTCTAAAGTCAGATTTCAGAAACAGCTCCAATCTCCTCTTTGCAATATTTACATTATTTCAGCCCTGATTACTGGCTATTTCTACTGTCTGTTTTTATTATCACAGTGATGTGATAATAGTGGTATTCTTGTCCCTGTGTTTCCCAGTGTCAGAAAATTCCCCCCCAACCCAAAAGAGACTGCCGATACTCCTCCACCAACAACTGAATTACTCTTCTTTCTGTTCTTCTTCCTTTTATTAAAATATCGTTTTTTCCTGCTTTCCTTACTTTTCTTAAAATAAAATGTCTTATTTCTGTTTTCCTCATCACAACTGAGACTGAAGCTGTTAACACAGGCAGTTTCTTTATAAGACTGCAAGTGCTCCAGGAAACCTCTCAGACATGCTACTGGTGGTGTCATTTCCAGGAACTTGTAGACCTATGGATCCAGTAATGCTTGTTTTAAGAAAAAGCAAACATGAAAGAAACGTCAATTGTTGGGAGAGGAAAGGGCAGTCCACAATTGAGTAATGTGGAGAAACTTGCTTCTTGTTGCCAGCAAAAGAGTATCCTGACCCCTTATTACATTTCTTGTAAAAGGAATAGTCTCTGGTGGGTATCAAACAAACTACACTGCTGGTAACTCGTTTCATCCAAAATCTCCTCTGGAGGATTCTTTCCAAAACAAGTATTCAGCCAGTGTCCTCACCTAAAGTTTCCATTGGCTTAACTGAGTTAAGTACATTTGCTAATAAGGGAGCATATATGTTCTCTTGCCAAACATATACCTGAGGCATCTATTAAGAATTTTCTCTTTGACCTTAATCTTTGCAATGTTTAACAGGTTCAGCTACAAGGCTGCAATGTTAATGACACAAGGAAGAATTAAGTTGGTTTGTTTACATTTTCTTCTTTGCCCAGTAAGCAGAGAAGCCTGGTAAAAGCAGGTTTTAAAAAACAAGAGCTCATGATAGTTTCAGTTACTTTTTGGAGATACACTGTGTACAAAAACAATCAGGCAGATTTAACAGTTTATAAATGAATGAGGCATAGCCTCCAAAGGAAATCATTTTTCCTGAAAGCCTCCAAAGGAAATCATTTATTAAGAAATGACACAAGATAAGAAATTATAAAGAATGGGATTGTCCCTTAAATAATGAGAGCAAAATTTCTTGAAGAGGCAAAGGTGGAAGTGATTGACTCATGAAACATATTTTCAAAGACAAGATCAGTACATGAAATAAATAGTGGAATGAAGGAGGATAGAAAACAGGAAGCTGTCCTGTATGAAGGTAGAGCCAATTATTGCTGCAGTGGAAGTTAGTTCAACAGTGAATAAACCAAAACCAGAGAGGTTACAAGTAACCCTCATTCCTCTTCCTACTAGAGGCTGCTCTTACCATTAGGCAGAATCTAGCAATCACTTCAGATGACTGGGCAACAGAAGAGGGGCCCCACTGAAGCTCTTACCATTAGGCAGAATCTAGCAATCACCTCAGATGACAAGAGGGGCCCCACTGAAGTTGTTCCTCCTAAGCCCTCCTCTTGGCCATTCCATTCTCTTGGAAAACAGGGCTGCATGTGTTACACAGGCTGTTCTGCAGCAGCCCCTAAATCAACCTGCCCCCCTCAGGTGTGGAAAAGGAACTTGTCTCACTGGTCCATGTTGGAATAAGGTTCAGCTGGTTCACATGGAATGCAGGGATATGTTATCCTTTCCCTTGCCTCAAGCAATATTATGTTCTGGGCTTCCCTTCTTCATAGAACTGTACCCAAGTCTTGAAGAACACATTGATCTTTTCTAGTTAGAGATGTTACTGGGATGGGGAACTTTTGTTACTGTTAGTAGTAGTAGAGCATCATATGTTTCGCTGGCAGATCTTAAAGGCAGACTTCTGTCAACATGTTGCTTAATTTTTTTTTCCTTAGCTTCCACCGCGAACTCACGGTCAGCTTGTGTCGAGAATAACTGCACTTCTTCTAACGTAGGACATCTTTATTTAAGTAAGAGGGACTGCCAAACTAAGGTCCTATTCTTCAATTAGTTGAGCTTCATCCTGAGTTCTCCCTTTTAAACTTTCCCTGGACAGCTCAGCGAGTTGTATACTGCATAGCCAAAGGTGGGAAGTTCAGTTCTCTACTGTGTCTCAGGGAGAATGGCCAGTCTGTGTAACCTTGACCAAACAGCACAATCCCACAGTGTCCCTAGAAGGGAACTGTAGACCTTCAGAAGAGTCTGCTTGAGTCACAGCTGAATTGACAGCATGTCATTGTTGTTATTGCTGTGGCTTAAAACATGATAACAGGGCTTAGGGAGTCCTGAGTAGAAAGAGAACTTTTCCTTGCCGTTTGTCAAAAACCCATTGCAAAGCCTTAACTAAAAATGGAAAAATGTATTTCACAAGGAAACCAACTAATTAAAAGGCAGTTATGTTGGGGGGGGGGAAGCAAACAGTATTAAATGGTATAGCTTAAATTAAGCAGTAAGAATAAGGATGCAAAACCTCTCTCAGTCAGAGAGCAAAAATAAATTTCAGAAAAGTTTTCAGAGGCCACATGCTAGTGGAGCCAAATTTAAAAAAAACAAAACTTCCAGGAAATGTTAACTTAATATAAGCAAAATGCAAAGTACCAATGAATTTTAGCTGTCTGTAACTAGGAGAGGCATCTCATTCCTTTTAGAATGAGAAAAAAGGTTGTATAAAAGAGGGATAACCACAGAATGATAGTGTCACGGCACTCTGGGGAAGTCCTGGTGGCCACACTGTGAACTCAGGAGGTCCAGATTTGGCCTCAGGGCCTAAGTTTCTCCACTCCTGATTTACAGGGTAATATATCACAGAGAGGACATCTACAGCATCCTTGAATGGGCAACAAGATAATAAAGTAAAGGAGAATCAAACCTTAGAAATAGGCAGACTAGTCTCTTGTTATCATTATTTAACTGGGTGTAGGGCAGCATGAATTTGACGCAACTCCGGGAGGCAGTGGAAGACAGGAGGGCCTGGCGTGCTCTGGTCCACGGGGTCACGAAGAGTCGGACACGACTTAACGACTAAAGAACAACAACAGAGCAGGGGAAACTGTATAACCTGTTCCACCACTCGGAGAAGTTGAACACGGCCAGAAAGAAACCTTTGGTCTTTGCTCATTGAAAAGAAGGCACTAATTTCTTTTCCCACATCTTGTATTGCTACTGTTGTAAGGGTTTCTTAAAGAAACGGCCCTTGGAATGACAGGCCTACACTACAAGCAAAAGACAGCAAATCTCCCCCCACACAGTGTGTTCCTTGTGAACCAAAAAGGAAGTTTATATGGTAATTTTCCCTATGTATTAATATGTGGTGGACGGCAATGGTTCTTGAGAATCCCCTGGACTGCAAGGAGACAAACCTATCAATTCTGAAGGAAATCAACTCTGAGTGCTCACTGGAAGGACAGATCCTGAAGCTGAGGCTCCAGTACTTTGGCCATCTCATGAGAAGAGAGGACTCCTTGGAAAAAACCTTGAAGTTAGGAAAGTGCGACAGCAAGAGGAGAAGGGGACGACCGAGGATGAGATGGCTGGACAGTGTCTGCGAAGCATCCAACATGAATTTGACACAACTCCGGGAGGCAGTGGAAGACAGGAGGGCCTGGCGTGCTCTGGTCCA